TAATCCTTCAAAATTGCAAAAATTATTATTATTTTTATTCTCGAAACGATAGAATATTATAATCAACTCAAAAAATAAGGTTTAATTACAACCAAACTACCAACAAGTAGAGTAGGAGATCGCTTAAAGAAGCGAACTAGAAGAAGGGACAAAAGAACTAAACTAGTGACAAACTACCGGCAAAGACATCCTTTGAGTCCGGCCTTTGTCCCTAAGCCTAGTTGCACTACACAAGGCTGCAGCGCATCAAAAGATAATACCACCACTGAGCAAGAGCCCCTAGTGATATTACCACTAGTGACAAAAATTATTTTAAACTTTTGATTACTGACAGTTGACCATGTGATGTGTTGACCGTATAATGTGATTAGATGTTATTATTCTGGTTACACATTAATTCTATTGAGCCATCGGATGGCTCCCTTATGGAGTCATCCATAACTTTATATATTGACACGTGTCCAATGGGTATTTATTGCAGGACTCGTGTCAATACACCATTTGTGGATAACTATAGATGGCTCCATAACCCGAGTTATCTGATGGTTCCATCCAATCTGATAAATGCAATTTAAAAAAATAAATATTCCAACTCCTTTAATTGTAAATTTTGTCTGCAAAAGGTGAAAGAAAAATCATTAATCATTATATGTTTTATATTTCCAAATAGAAAGTGAAAGTTGCAACAATTATTATATTTCCAATTATTATTTTCATCTAGTTCATAAATTTTACGTGGCAAACTTTTTGGCCCTACATAAATTATTTAATATATTTTGTCTGTCCAAGCAACATAATATTTCATAAAAGCATTCAATGTCCAACATAATATGAATACTTTTAATGTCCAACATAATATGAATTCATAAAAGTAGTCAATGTCCAAGCAACAATGACAGTCACATCACTGAGTAAAAAATCAAATAGTTAAAATAATAAAATGAAGATAGTATGTTTTAGTCGGTTACATAACATCATCCATGAGATTATGTAAAACTGAATACTCATTTACCACCAAAATATTCACAATTAATAAAAGTTTTTGGCGGTAGAATATACACAGCATAAAGTATCAATTTTAGCAGCAATCATGAAATTAAATATTATATAATTAACAATTTAATATGTTTATATATATATATATATACATATATATATATATATATATATAGCCATTATCAGTTTAATGTTCACATTGTATTTCTACTTCTAAAATCATCCCAAAAAACTTATACTTAGAAACATACACTCTCAATTCCAAATGGCTTCTTAATTTGATAATGTTACTTTTGTTGCAAAGAACAATAACAAAACAACCATTTTGAGATTGATACGGTTTTAATTGAAAAAATCAGTGGCGAAGAAATACTTGACGACCAGTCTTGAGTTTGTTTTTCATGATGTCAAGGTAGAATATATGTGTCTATGTAATTCTTAATAACTTTTTCGCATATATTTTTTTTCTTATTTTATTTCTAATACATCCAATTAAATTTTTGTGTTTAGGGTGAACGCATTCATGCATCTATACCAGACTGCTTAGCAACAAAGTTCAAGGTGTTTGAACTTGGTGAAAGGCGTATTTATGGGATAAAAAATATTCAAAGTTGTACCCGATCTTAACATGTACTACCTCCATTTCATAATAAGTGTCATTGTAGTTTTATCAACTATTAACTAAATAAATGAGATTTTAGATATTATATTCATATTTTTCCATTATTAGCCTCATTTAACTAATAAATACACTATGACTTTTTATATTCACTCTTCATACACATTATCTCTATCTTCATTAAAGAGGGTTATTATTTGGAAAAAATATTCTTAATTATTGTGCAATTTTTTAAAATGACACTTATTATGAAATGGAGGGAACACAAGACTGCTCCAAAAAATGATAAGCTGATTTATTATGGCAACATTGAAATTTATGAGATTCTTTATGATGGCTACCCTCGATTTATGTTCAATTTTAAGGATTTCAGTGATTTTGACGATCCGACATGCATTGGCTCTACAAGACTTATTCGTAATTTTTATATACTTTCAAAATAGTTTAAAATTTTATTTTTTATATTAAACTTTTTTCCTAGTCAATTATTGATTATTGATTTGTAGATATCATTGACCATGTTCTTTTGTACCAAAATGTACAAACAACAATGTCAAGGGGAGTTCAAAAGAGATTTGTAGAAGTTTATCGAGTATCCTATTATAATATAGAATTTTCAACATAAAAAATAGTTTCAAATTTTAAATAATTTTTTTCTAGTGTGATTTATGTAGGGACTGCCAATTAGTTTGCACCTTATGGGAGGATTTTGTTGATATTTTGCTTGAGGCTTTCAAGGATTCTTCTCCATCCGATGTCAAAGTTGTAATCATTCAAATGTGCCGAGCAAAATCCTGATGATGGTAAATGACTAATGAAGTATGAATTATTTAAGTATTTTTATACATTTTAATATTAATAATAATGGTTATTTTTATAGGCTCTGTGAGAATTGCAAACACCTATGATGCTACGAAAATGATTGTTACATGTGATCTACCTGAGATTATTAAATTCAAAGAGAGGTGTTATAATTATTTTTACAAGCAAATAATTTTTTTGATATATATATNCCTACTAAATAATGAAGTCAATATGTTAGATCATTTGTGTCAAGCGTATGTGATGAATTGGAGTCGGGAGTGTTGCTAAAATTTATACTTTAGAAGAGGTAAGTCTCTACATTTTTATTTTTTTTTAGTTTTAACTACAAGTTACACATTTGCCTATGTTTATATTTTTTCTTATATTTTTTTCAGCCTAAAATGTTTTGGATTTGTGGTGAAATTATTGAAATGTTAGACTAAGTGCACATTAATGAATGTTTGATTACACAATAGTGTAACAGTGTATTCTACGTAATGACTATAATACCCCTATGATAAATCAAAAGTCCACATATTTACAAGAATGCCACTGCTCCTTTGACCAAACATGATCACTTTTAACGCGTCTGGAGCGTTCATATATCACATCCAACTACTAGTATTCATTCTTACTTCTTTTGCTATGACTCTTTCTCATATATATATATATATATATATATATATGAGGACAAATAATTTAATGCAAGAAATTTTCATTTCCAGCATTTTTTTGGGTTTATTGAAAAGAATGTTACATTTTATATCAGTTTAATAATAATTATATTTTTTAATCATTCTATTATATATTAGTTATTATTAGTACAAACTAGTTATATTTTACACTAAAAATGGTAGATAAAAGTTACATTGTAAATTTTTTTCTTTATTTTTTTTAAATTGATATTATCTTTTTTTTTAGTCTCCTTAAGCGATTGGTTTTAATGGTATAGTCAAAACCTTTAAAATCCCATAAGAAATTGTTATAATAGTAATATTTGTTCAACTAGTTTAGTTGGTCATGTCCACTTAAAAATTATAAAAATTACATTATTCATTACATTTTATCCAGTAAATATAGTTCTTTTATTTTTACTAATGTTCATCTTTTTAAAATAGAATACCATTAATTAACTTATAATTTTAATATATTTTGCATACATATAACTTATAGTACTTTATGTGTTTACATTTGTGCATGTGCACATGATCGAANTTTATATATATATATATATATATATATATATATATATAACGGTAAGCTAATGATATAGTGCAAAAAACCTATTTTTTCACATATTTTTTAATTAATTTTGAAAAAATGTTACAGTTGCATTAAGTAATTATATTTTTATTTATTTTATTACATAATAACTACTACTAACTAATTATAAAGTTGCACTAAATGATACATGGAACTATAAAACTATAGAAAAATCTATTGCAATTTTTCTTCCAAATTATTTCTTTAAAACTTATTATTGTTTTTTTCACCTCATTAAGAAAACTCCTAAAAATTATGCACAAAATTGTTAAAATAATAATTTTAATTCATTTTCATTTAATTAATTTGTTATAGCCATTCAAGATTGTAAGAGTTACATTATTCCAATTAGTATAATCATTCATATGTAAATTAAGTAATTTATATTTATATCATTTATTTTTAATAATAATACAATTTATAAAATAATATATTTTCGTTTTCTAACTTATGAATTCAAATATTACACAAATACATATCATCTATAAAATTTTGTTTGGATATGTCAAATAGTAGTTGTACTAACCATACACCAACAGGGTAAAAACGTAATTTTGCAACAAATTGGTGTAACCATCATAAATATAAAAAGTAATAATATAATAAGTAATAAAGATGGGTTGGTGGAGGTGTCCATACGTGTCAAACGCGTAAACCATTTTAATTCACAATTTTCCGTTTTTCCACTGCGCCGTGGGTTCTTTTTTTTATTGACCGTCAAAATTAACCGAACACATTTCGGCACTTGGGAACACGGCCAAAACAGCCGCACCCACAGGACCCGTTCCATGGTCCTCATCTCCATGTGACAATTGCCCATTGACCAACTCTTTTAATTTTAAAACGCCGTTCAGACTTTAAGTTAATTTACCATTTTGACCCACTCAACGTTTAAATACAATATTTTCAGCCCCGAGCCACAATCCCCTACATGTGACCTCATCCCTACAAAGGGTGTCGAAACGCTGCAGTTTTGGATAGCTGTAGGCGTTTGGTTGAACCAACTTAACAACCACCACAAACTTTTTACTTTACTTCTGTTTTTTGCCTTTTCCTTTAGCCTTTTTTTTTTTTTTTTANATTGGAAATAAAATATAAAGTGTAATTAGTAACTATTGTTTTATGATAACAATTAAAAATTTAAAATATTATTATTTTCATAAAGTAAAAATAAAACCTATAAATTATTAAATTATCCTCAACTTTTCTACTTTTTCCGTTTTCCAAAACCATACTTTTGTTTTAGGATTCCATCTACTGTTCTCTCTCTCTCTCTGCTGTATTTTCTCTCTCTACATCCCGCCGGTGAACAGCTCGTCTGCCGGCGTACAGTGCGGCCGGAGATTTAGTTATTGCCGCTGCACGCGACAAGCGTATCTCGTGTCTTTCATCGGCTGTTCGATTTTGTTGGTGAAGTTTCGATCTCCTAGTTTGACTCAATTCTTGTGGATTTCTTGAGAATGTGGAAGGTGTTGTAGAGTTTTTCGTGTTGTTTTTGTTCTGGATCGCTGCCTCGGGTGATTTTCAGGCGACTTTAGAGGCTGAGGGTGGAGTTCCGATTTATTCATTTCGTTTACCGGTGAAAAGTAGGACGGAGTCTAACGGCGAAGTGTTCCGGGATGAGATGGTACGTTTATTTGTTTTACTGTATGGATCTTAAGAATTTTTAGAATAATGCTGCTGAATGATGAATGTGCTTCAATTGAACTACCGATGTGATTTTTGTGTCCGAGGCTTACTTTTTGGGTGTTTGTGTTGAGATTTACCGCTACATTCTGTTCATCTTTCATCTGGAAAATAAGCACGGGATTTTAGTTATTGTGACCAAATGGCTGCACTGTTGCTTGAATTCCCTCGACTCCCTTCTACTTTCCTTTCCTTTTTCTTTTTCTTTTTTACTTTCTCCATCAAACGTTAGATCTTACCAGTTCATCGTTGGGTTTATGAAGAAATCTATTGCTTGTTATTGTAATTTGTTATGGGTTTATGAATAAATCTATTGCTTATTATTGTAATTTGTTAATTTTGCGAATATTTACCCCTGGCTGTTTTGTCGGTTTTGATGATTACTGGAAAATACGGTTGTAGTTATTGATTGGTGGTCGTGGAAATTATTTAATATTCAGGTGGAAAGTTTTTGTTGTTTAGATGATTACGATATGCATTAGTGATGTTTTTTCCTGTTCTTTTGTTGAATTAGTGAAAGGTATTGCACTCATGAGTCATGTGACTTTGTGTTTGTAAAAAATTACTGTTGGTACATGCCTATGAAAATCCTTTCACAAGGATTTCGTGTTATCGTAAGTTTAAATCTGAGTCTTGTAAATGTGTTCTCACAAGTCTATAGAAACGAAGAAAACATAAGTGGGTTAATCCAGACAGTCTTATGAATTTGAAATGTTGGCCGTTTCAAGTTTATGCTTGTCCAAGTTTCTGGAGGTTTTTGGAATGTGCTCCCTATTTTTAAAATTTAGAGTGATTTCATTTTTTTGCATCATTTGCTTACTTCCATCTTTTTTGAGGTTTGGTCTTTAGGAGTAAGGATGAAAATTTGGTTGTGTTTGTATTTCTGTATAGGTTGTATATGTTAGGAAGTAAATGCATTATGTCTTATTCTGTTTGCTTCAGAAATGGATGTGAAATGTGAGTTGGTTTGAAAATAAGGGTGGTAGATGCATGGACAGATGTGATGTGTTTTTAGGTTTGACAATTAGTTGGACGTTGTTCATTATGGGTGAAAAAGAGTATTTTAAAGTTCAAGTTGTAGAAGATATAAAGGTCTTATGGATGAAAACAAACTAAAGTTTCTATTTCAGTTTGTTTCTCTGATCCTTATTGCTTAGGTTTTACTTGGCAGGTGGAAGGATGGATTTGTACGTCAAGGGAGGCTAAACTGGAATTCTTGAAACGTAAAAGGCTACAGCGGATGAAAACAGAGCACTCAAATGATTTTACAACTGTGGGCAAGATGATGAGCAGGAGTGGTGGTGATGCTTTAAGGACTTCTTCTCCATGCGGTGTGAGATTACACAAAACTTCTCATGCACACATAAAAATTGATCTCAATTCAAATGAGAAAGTTGAATGTTCCAAGCGCAAAGTGGAAAAATCTGAGTCACTTGACCTTGAATGGATTGATAAAATTCCAGAGTGCCCAGTGTACTGCCCAAGTTTAGAAGAATTCCAGGATCCTTTAGTTTATCTGCAAAAGATTGCTCCGGAGGCTTCAAAATATGGTAATAATAACTAGAATTTATATGGGTTTGATGCTTGGATCCTAATTTTTTATTAGAGGATCTTCTCTCATGCATTGAAGGGTTTTTTTAATTTTGTCTATGCCAGTTGAATCTCACTCAAGTGGTTTTAGTTTTAAATTTTCCTAGTAACTTATTTCTGTTTTAATATTATTATAACTGGTGTGCTCTAGCAAGTTCACTCAATCTCTCTTGTCTTGACACTTCTCTATGTCGACCCATGCTCCAGTCATGCATTGCCGTGAAATCCTCCAACATTTATTTGTTTGTTTATGCTTCTCTTTCTCATTTACCTTGACCAATGAAACAACTGCTGAAATCGTGCTTCAATCTTTAGGTATCTGCAAGATTGTATCTCCATTAAGTGCCACTGTTCCTGCTGGGGTAGTCCTTATGAAAGAAAAAGCTGGTTTCAAATTTACCACGAGGGTACAACCACTTCGTTTGGCTGAATGGGATAGTGATGACAAGGTCACATTTTTCATGAGTGGAATGTGAGTGCTTCTTTCCCTTGTATGGTTTATGATTTATTTAGTTCTTTTTTTTTTTTTTTTTTTTTTTTTTT